AATAAACAGTAATGACAGACAGCAGCAGGTTTATTTAGGCTGCTGTCTCTTTAAGACCTCATGCACGGATCTAATATACTGTTACATGTGCATTTTGCTTCTTGATAGTTTACATTCACTTAATAGCCTATATATACCGACTATGTGTAAAATAAACCGATTGTGTGTCCGTGAATACTGGGCATTTTGACAATTTTGTATGTATTTGGCCAATATGCAACAAGCATAATAAGGCGCAAAACATAAGTCAATTCTGTAGTCGTGCACTGTTTCAGAGGTGGCTTAATGTGTGTGCGCTTTAGGTGTGGGTGCACAGAAAATGGTCAATAAGAGAGCGTGTGAGTACTGTATTGAGTTCTCCTTCACTCTTTGTGCTTGAATGGCTTAAAGTCGCTTAAATGTTTAAATTGGCAAGACTTAAAAGCATGTGAAAATGATACGTTCTGTCATCTGTCATTGCGTTATAAGCGCGGCCCACCACTGCATGGACTCTCTCTTTTCTAGCATTTTAAATACAGTTGCTCCTTTACGCTTAAGGGAATGAATGTAGCGGAAACACTGTATGATTATGCTTCACGTTATAACAATAAAAAGAAGAAGAATAAATTCTAATAGCCTACTTAATCCAGGTGAGGCAAATCTTGGTTTATTGAGCAGAAACATAGCCCTAAGAGGCATGAAACATGTTTCAAATATGTCGTTACCATACTGCATATCTGAACTCTTGGTAGCTTCAGAAAATGTTCAAATTAACAAAATTCTTCCAAATATTGCTGAAACTGATCCAAATTCAGAATCCTATGAATAGACAACTGAGAGCAAGTTAATGGCCTCAGCTTGACCACTTCAGTGCATGTTTAGCACTCAGACAGGTATGTTCAATGTAATTGTTTTGATAGAGGGAAACAAGCTACAATTCTACTTTCAACATTGTTTATTCTTTATACATTGCTTTTTTAATTACAATAAGTATCAACTGTATACAGAGTGACCCACATCTGGTTTTTGACCACTGGAAATGGGTCAAATTCAACTATTTGGACATGGCGTCTCATTGAGATCACCATATCTCTGGGACTGAACCAAACAGGGCCTTTAAAATGTAGATACCTAAAGAAAAGTTTGTTAAGAACCCAAATCTAAAAGGGCATTAGTATATCTTTAATACTTGAGTTTCAGACATGCAAACTTTAGAGAAAAATAAAAAAATACTGTGCTTGTTAGTGCTTGTTCTCATTTTCCCCATTGGCATATAATCGGGTGGAGATACA